CTCTCCCTGGGGGCACGTCCAAGTGCCTCTCGTCATTCTGACCCAGCCCCTGGACTGATGTCTGTCACCTGGCCCTAGCCCAGCCCTGGAGTCCTCTTTCTCTAGGTGCTGTATTTGCTGGGCGCTATGCTGCTGTCCATGGCTCTGCAGCTTGACCGACACGGACTCTGGAACCTGCTTGGACCCAGTCTCTTTGCCCTGGGGATCTTGGCCACAGCCTGGGTAAGGGTGAGGAGGAATGTGGGGGGAGGGTTCCAGCAGGACTTGGGCGCTGGGCCCCAGGTATCTGGTCCTCAGTTTAAGGTGGGCTTGGCTCTGTCATCATCACCTGCTGCTGGCAGTGTCCACTCCAGTCTTGGCAGGTGTCTTTAGGTTACAACCAGGGCTCAGAGGAAACCTGAGAGTGACCAGCTCTGGCTTGGGTTACAGGGCTTGGCATTCCTGAGCCCCACTTCTCTGTCTCCCCTAGACAGTACGCAGCGTCCGCCGCCGGCACTGCTACCCACCCACATGGCGCCGCTGGCTTTTCTACTTGTGCCCGGGCAGCCTCATTGCAGGCAGCGCCATCCTGCTTTATGCTTTTGTGGAGACCCGGGACAACTACTTCTACATTCACAGCATTTGGCATATGCTCATTGCGGGCAGTGTGGGCTTCCTGCTGCCCCCTCGTGCCAAGACTGACCACCGGGTCCCGTCTGGAGCCCGGGCCCGGGGCTGTGGTTACCAGCTATGCATCAACGAGCAGGAGGAGCTTGGCCTTGTGGGCCCAGGAGGGGCCACTGTCAGCAGCATCTGTGCCAGCTGAGAGGGGCTTTGGACCTGGCCCTGGGGGGATGTGAACACTTTTTAGAGTTCTTCTTGGGGGCATGGAGCCCTCTAAGAAAAAGACAGGCTATATTTCTTGAGGACATGGAGTCTTTCTCAAGGACACAGAAGTCTTCCAGGTAACTGGAGCCCTTCCCAGGACATGGACAACTTCCTGAGGGCCTGGAGTCCCCTTGCTTCATGGAATGCTTCTTAAGGACTGGAGCCTAAGCAGACGCAGAGCCCCTCAGGACTAAGGAGTCCCTCCTGCAGGCGTGGAGCCCTTTCCGGGCTGTGGAGCCTTCCTGAGACATGGATTCCTTCCTAGGGAGACAAAGTCCTGTCAGGAACATGGAATCATTCCAGAGGAAGTGGAGTCCATCTTGGGGAAATCAAATTTCCAGATTTTCTGAGAGGCTCAGCAACTCTGGCTTCAGGCTTCCTTCCCAGAGGCAGTATCTGGGCTGAGCTGTGCTGGGGAGGAGAGATTGCAGGATGGATGGAGCTGGGACTGGGGCTGGCTGGGTGACTGGTATCCTCGGTTGATACAGGTGGAGCCTGTGTGTCTCCAATGAATGAAGAATGGTTCTGTGCCTTTTTTTCCCCTGGGGTCAGCAATGTGGGGACGGGGGAAAAGAGGGACCTTCAGAGAATCAGCAGGGCTGATGGGAGCCTGGCCTGAGTGAGCTGCTGGGAGCTACTGCTGGAGACTTTTGTCACACCATATGTAGTCTCATCCCTCTCATCTGGCCCCTGCGTTCATTTCTAAACACTTTCTAATGCCTATTCCCCAATTCCTATTGAGCCCAGTCTGCAGTAGCTGAGAGGTGTGTGTGTGTGTGTGTACGTACACTGAGATGATTTAAACCAGTGAGACAGACTTTCCTTATGACACCCACACCCAACACAGAAGGAAGCCAAGGTCCCAGGAAGTTGTAATAGCAGGTACATATCTCAGGTATGCAAGAAATATCACAAGAATGTAACTTCTGTTTTGAGCTCCCATTTTTTCTGAGGGCCAGAAAAGATCTTTTGTCCATTTGGGATTCCTTCTCTTTCCATGAGGGTCATAGCTGAATTCCGAGGGTCTCACATAATGCCCAGAGTTTGGGAGAGGGTTCTTTCTGATCACCAATGTCTATACTTCATCCATGCCCCGAGATTGCCATCATTACACCTGGTCCCAATCAGAGGTCCAGACAGTTCATCTGGGATGCAGAGAGATTTCTTGTTCCTATTTGCATAACCCTTTCAGTCCTAAGGTTCTCTCTGCCACTTCTGTGCCATATGTGGAGACCTGTGAAGCTGTCTAAGTCCTTGGCTATGCAGACACACCTTGAAGCTGTTTCTACTCTGGGTTTTGATAGACAAGGCATGAGTTGCTGCCTCTTTTAAAACCTGCAGATCTATCTTGGCCTGAGGTGTGGGGCTCAGGGACCCTCCCTTTTGGGACCTTCTGTGTCAGTATTCTCCTCTCTCCCTCCTCCTCCTCTTGTTAATATTGGAGGTGAGGAAGCCTTACTTTTACTTATGTTTTCTCCTGAATCTTTTATCTATGCCTTAAGGCTTTTCTGTTCCCTTCAGGACCTAGGCTTTGGAAGCCCAAAAGCCAGGAAACCATGCCTTTGTTGTTTGCCTTCTGCAATCACATTTCTTCCATGGGGCACTGAGCAGAGAATGGCCACTCAGCAGAGAATGACTACTCACGTGGCTATGTTAGTAGTGAGAAGCAGGGAGGGGATGTGAGCTAGGTGTCTTCGTACATCAGAAATACCACATTAAGATGTATAGAGCCAGGTCACTGGGATTCTTGAACCCAAATAGCTGGGATTCTAGACAGAATCAGCAGAGTACAGAAGGCTCTGAAGTGGGAGACAGAGCTGGGGTACAGGGGTCATAAGGGGCTTCTTGGAAGAGGGGCATTTGAACCAGGATTAGCTGAGTTGCCATGATGTCAAGATATTGGGAGAGTGTTCTTTGTGGTCACCAGTGTCCATATGGTATTTCTCCCCCGAGATTTTCATCATTCCTTGTAGTTCTCAGTCAGTAAAGCTCCTAGAATACTTGTGTAGTGCCTAGCCTGGTGTGTGATGTAGTCCAATGTATGTTAGCTTAAGGTCACCAAGTGTTTGGACATGGGGAGGGAACAGCAAGGGGGAATTCAGAGGCAGGAAACACTGATATTTACTCCGGGCCCTGAATAGTTCAGTGTGCCTGGGCCAGTGCATGTGCGCATGCTTTTGTGTGTAGAGTAGGGTGGTGGAGGTAAGGGGCCAGTGATGTAGTTGGACACATAAGTGGAGATTGGGTCTTTATTCCATGGGAAATGAGGAGCCATTGGAGAGATTTAAGCAGGAGAGTAGCATGATCAGATTGGGGTTTTGATGGCTGTGGCAGAGGATGGATTTTGGGGAGATCTTGGAGGATGAAGTGCAGTGACACAGCTATTGGAACATTTGGGAGAGAAATGGTGAATGAAGCCTTCTTAACACGATGTAGGTGGAAAGGAGGGGACTAATTTAAGAGCTGTTAGGAGTGAATTCTAGAGGACTTGGAGACTGATTGGATATGTGGGGTGGTGAGGTATGAGAGAGCCTAGGATGATGGTTATATTCTGACTTGGGGGGGGTGCCATTCCCTGAAATGGTGACACCGCTTTGGGTGGGGGGATGATGAGTTCCACTTTGGACAGTTTGAGGTGTATTTGGGATTCCCAGGGGAAAGGGGGCCGGCAATATCACAGTGCTGGACCTAGCAGCTGAACCAGGCCTGTCTCCAGGCTTCCAAAATGGGGATCCCTAGTTGTCTCCTGACTTGTCTCAGTGGGGGAGATCCCAAGATTCAAACAGCGCCTCCTTGCCTTGAATACAGGGCCATGGCTGGCAGATACTACTGCACCCTGGCATGTATCTGTACACACAACTGAACTAAGACTCCTGAGCAACTGCAGCTGCCTGGAGCATGTTGAGCAGCACAGGGCTCAATCCCCACATGCTGATGTTCTGAAGGCTTCTGAGTGACAGTTCAGTCCTGCAAACCTTCCATAGGGAATGTGCTGTGGGAGCACAGAGATGAGCCAAATGCGACTGAATCCTGCCCTGAAGGAGCTCACACGGTGGTGAAGTGTCATGAATTTGAGTTAGATGGGCAGGTGTGAAGTGGGAGATCCTGACGAAGTGCTGTAGGATGTAAAGAGAACAATCTCAAAGTGCAATGGGAAAGGATGCGTGAAAGAGATGGTGTTTAACCTAGCTTTGGAAACTAGTCCCAGGTATTATCAGAGAACAGCACAATACGTGCAAGGGTGCAAACACATGAGGGTAGGGCAAGACAGATAATGTAACAAGGGGGACAGTCGTGTGAAGGGTATAGTGGAAAATCAGGCTGAAGAAGCAGGTAGGGGCAGATTCTGGAGGGCCTTGAGGACTCAACTGAAGAATTTGGAGTTAATGGTAATGGGAGCTGTCAAAAGTCCTTGATCAGAAGAGTGATGAATCAATCCAGGTTTGACCAAAATAACAGAACCGCTATGAATGATAAAAAGATGAGACCTTTATAGCCATGGGAGCAGTTGGAGAAATCTGTGCAAAGCTGTGACTTCTGCATTTGGTGTTGGGCCTGAAGCTACTACAGCTCACTGGGCCAGCAGTTAGGAAAGAAGGCTGAGTGTGAAGTGAGGGGCAGTAAGGGCACACTAGAATCCGGGAGGACAAACTGGAACCTGTGCCTGGCTCTTGTGCCTTCAATCTCACTGACTGTGGTGACCTGCAGGAGAAGCTGGCATCTTTGCCATGTAGCTTGCACTTGGCCCAGCACTCAGCACAGTGGAAGGAGGTGACTTGGTGGGGACTAGATGGGATGTGCCAACAACAAGGGGAGCCAGCAGATTAGTGACATGTGAGTGCCCCCCCAACCACTGTGTCTGGTGCAGTTTTTTTTTTTTTTTTTTGAGACAGAGTGTTGTTCTATCATCCAGGCTGGGATGCAGCGGCACCATCAGCTCACTGCAGCCTCCACCTCCCGGGTTCAAGTGATCCTCCCTAGTAGCTGGGACTACAGGCACACCACCAAACCCAGCTAACTTTTCGTATTTTTAGTAGAGGCGGGGTTTCCTCATGTTGCCCAGGCTGGTCTTAAACTACTGGCCTCAGGTGACCTGCCAACCTCCGCCTCCCAAAGTGCTAGAATTACAGGCATGAGCACCATGCCTGGCCCACTTTTGCCTTCCAAATCTCGTGCAAACTTCTCTGTGGCCAACACTAACCCAGACCCTCTAACCAAGTTTGGTTGACCCAGTACAAGGCCACCACAGTTGAGCTAACTAGAGCTTTCTTGGGACAATTAACCTGGCAGCAGCCCATGAAGGATGGATGGTCAAGATAAAGAAAGCCAAATCTCCAGTAGCTCTTGGGTTGGCACTGTCAGCTGGTGTGGTAGTCATTAGGCCATTCACAAATCTCTCTGTGCCTCTCTTTATCCATCCAGACACACGGTATTGTGCTTCTCCCTCTTAACGATAGTGTGGTTCTGTGCCTTCCTGTTGCCATTGTGTTTGCCACTGAAATGTAGGTGGAAGCAACACAGCCACTTCTGAGTAGAAGCTTTAAGAGTCAGTGCAGGCTTTGTTACTTTCCCTTTTGTCATGGTGACCAGCAGTGTTCCCAATGGTAGCTGCTTTGTCATCCTGAGTCCCAGAGGGGTGAAGACCATGATGTGGAGCAGAAGCCCCACCAGCCTCTGTGGACCTGCAGCAGGAGCAAGAAACAAACTTTAATGGTTTTAATCCTCTGAAGGTCATGACCACAGCACAACCTAGCCTATGCCGGCTGACAGGGAGAGGGCAACAGTAGCAGTGGGAGGCTTTCCTGGAGAGCAGACCTCCTCTCAGCAGAGCCAGGGCAGCAGCTTTCACCTCTGCGTTCCTCAGACTGTAGATGATGGGGTTCAGTGAGGGCGTCACAACCCCGTAGAACATTGTGACAATCTTATCCACACTGGCGTCCTTGGACTTGGGCTTGAAGTACATGAAGGAGATGGTCCCATAAAAAACCACCACCACTGTGAGGTGGGCTGAGCAGGTAGAGAAGGCTTTGTGTCGGCCTGCAGCAGAGGGTACCCTAAGGATGGTAGCCAGGATGAAAAGGTAAGATAGGCAGATGAGCAAGAGGGGGGCCAGTGTCAGGACAGCTGTGGCCACCATTAATGCCAGCGCGTTGCGGGAGATGTCCCCACAGGCCAGTTTTAGCACTGCCAAGATCTCACAGAAGAAGTGGTTGATGACATTGTGGCCACAGAAGGGGAGGCACCAGACAAGGATGGACTGTAGTAGTGAGTTGGCAAAGCCTGTCCCCCAGCTCAGCACTGCCATCCGCATATAGGTCTGTCTACTCATGAGCTCTTGGTACCTAAGTGGTTGGCAGATAGCCACATAACGGTCATATGCCATCATGGCCAGGAGCAGGCACTCTGTTGATCCCAGCGCCAGGGTCAGGTACATCTGCATGGCACATCCAGGGAAGGAGATGGTCCTCTGGGCTCCCAGGAAGTTGACTAGCATGAGAGGCACAAAGGAGGAGGTGCCACAGATATCCATGAGGGAGAGTTTGCTCAGGAAGAAGTACATGGGGTTGTGTAGGCCACGGTGCAGCACGTTCAGCCCTATGAGGAGGGCGTTCCCCAGCACATTCATGGAGTACACGCCCAGGCAGAGCACAAACAGGACCACCTCCAGGTTACGGTGCTCATGTAGCCCCAGCAGGACGTACTCCGTCACAGCTGTCTGGTTTCCTCCTTTCATCTCATTCTCTCTCCTTTTCATCTGGACCACCCAGCTTTTTGGAAAAAGCTCCAACTGGCCTGGGAGCCTAGTGACCTGGATGTCTGGCCTGCAGCAGGTCAGCCTCCCTCTCTGGAATTTAGCTCACAATCTGTATAATGAGGGAGTTGGACTTCAGATCTGTAAGCTGGCCTTCTCAGCTCTGCAGTTCTGCTGCCGTCACTTGGGGGAGGATGGGGCACATTCTAGTCCCTGAGGCTCCTCTCTGCTCTCCCTAGGGCAGGGTCAGAGGAGATAACAGAGAAGGATTCATGTTCAAAATGGTCATTTGGAATCCAGAGTGTTCTTGGCCATTAACAGGAAGCATCTTTTCTACATTATGGTTCATATAACCAAATTATGCCCATGGTATTTCAGATTTATTCACTAAATATTCATTGAGTACCTACTCTGTGTTAGGTATCAGGGGCTGGGGCTACAGCAGTAAGGAAAATAGGTGGACAAAAGGATTCCACACCTGTCAGGTGCTGCCCCATTCCCTGAGTCAGGTGAGATGAGCTCTGGAAGGCAGGTGGGTGAGGGATGGTGCTCACCTGGTGTTCCTTTGGGCCATGAAGATCAAATATTTCAGCCCCGTAGGATGTCTAATCCTGATTTCTGGTCATCTCTCCTTAAGGAATCACACACTATTAATTTTTTTAAAATGGCATATAAGAACATACATGTCTCAATAGAGTTATTGGTGACAGGGTGGAACTCTGGTCATGAAAGTCAAGTGACTTACTTTCTGGCCTCTATATTGCATTGTAGGAGAAATGATACTGACAGTGATGTCACACGACAAGGGAAGCCAGGCGCAAATCTAGTGGTGTGGTCAGTCACGACCAGCTTTGCAAAGGGAGCAGTGGGGGAGGCTGTGGTCTCTCCCAGGTGGCCTCTATCGCTGTGTACAGCTGCTCTCACTTCTCCTTGGGAAAGGCCAGCATCGTGTATTCATAGGAGGAAGCCCAGATGTCCCCAAAGCACAGTAGTCTTGTTAGGACTGGAGAACTGTCTTATGGCCAGGTGGCCCCTGGTCTGAAGGAGAAATAGGAGCTGAGTGTGAACTTTAATCATTCAGGAGATATAATCCACCTCTCCGCTCCGGCCCTTCACTCCTGGATTGGTTGTGAGGACATTGCTTTGTGACAGCAATGGAGCCCTATCTGTCCTGGGCTAGATTTCTTTTTTCTCTTATTCCTCCTGTTTCATTATATCCACCTGGGAGGGCTGCAGGGCTCACCCTTTCCTGAAGAAACCATCTCTTTTTCCCAGCTCTGCACCTTTGTCCGAGATGGAGGCGTGTCCTCCCTCCCATCCCCAGCAGCAGGTGTTCCGCTCATTCTCCAGAGCCCTGTGTGGCACCGTCTCCTTTTCTTGCCCTCTTTCCCCTTGCAGTTACATGCTCCCTTCTTGTGCTCCCACCGCCCTTGGCCATCCCTCTGTGTCATTGTGCTGTGTGGTGGACCTGTCTTCCGTATTACACCTTAAGAGCTGGACTCCGCCTCCTTCCTACCAGCACCTAATGCAGCAAGTGCTCCAATGGCAGGCACCCAGCAGAGAGCGAATGCACGACTGCAAAACCCAGCTTTGCCTCCTGGCTGTAGTTCAGACTACCTGTGTGATACTGCCCAAGTCTCTTGACCTCTCTCAGACTCAGCTTTCTATTGAAGACTGGGATGCTGTGTAGCTCAGAGGAACCATGCACCTGAAGGTGCTGCCCCGGGGGGTGCAATGACATGTTACTGAGGCTGGATGGAGGATGGCATTCATCGTCAGCTACAGGTGCCTGCTCTATCTGTACTAGCCACCTCCTGGACAAGGGCTCCAGGGTCCTCCATGACACCAGCTTTCTCCAGAGCCTGTGCAGGCTTTCCTTCCTTTACCCTGAATCAGGGTGATTCTTACAGGACAGTTTCAGGAACCTACAGGGGCACTTGGGTAATCTCGGTCAGTAACTGATCTTAACTGTTATCCACGTGAATATGTATAGTTAGTGTTTTTCTTGGTGAGGTTTGGCAGAAGTAAAGAATTGCCAAGCCTCATTCATTCACTCATTCAGCAAATAGTTATTGAGCACCTACTATGTGTTAGTCCCTGGGCCAGGTGCTGTGAATACAGCAGAGGCAGACCTGGCTCCTGCCCTTATGGAATTTGCAGTCATTCATTCACTCACTTGGTGACTTTGGACACCTCCCTTCCTCTCTCCAGGCTTTAGATCTCTGAGATTCTCTCTGAGTCTGGGTTGTAATAGACAAAGTAAAACCTGAAATCTGGAAAGAACTATAAGAGCTTTGTTTTTGTTGGTTGTGTTGTTACAGAAAGAACTATGTTCATCTCAAATTCTGACACTGGATACAGATGTGGGGGTTTCAAGCAGGTGAAGGGTGGAAACCCACCTGATTGCATTTTTCTTCATCACCCAAGCCTCTAACAATAAGACCAAGTGGGCATGGCAGAGGCATCTGAGGGCTTTTGTGTGCAGCCTCTGGCTGGTTCTCCTGCCTCGCCTCTACCACGTCCCTCACACGCACCTGCTTCAGCCTCACCAGACCATTCCCTGTCTTTTAGACAAAGCCTGTGTGCTCCAGTCCTGTCCCTCTTCTTGGGCAATTTCTTCAGGCTGGAGTGCCTTTCTTTTCTACTCATCCTTCAAGGCTCAGTCCACACACCACCCTCTTGGGCAGCCTTCTCTCAGATGGCTTCATAAAACTGACCACCTGGACAACAGGACGGTCACACAGCTATTAGCAGAGGTTAATTTCTTTCTGCCTTCATTATAGTTCATTTTTTGTATATCTCTCTCTGACTAGACTGTGAGCTATTACAGTGAAGGGGCTGTGTCCTTCATCATTCTCACCCTCCAGTAACCCACAGCCAGGAGGTGTCAGTGATTGCTACTAGTTGAACTGTTTATTGAGATCCAGTGTTGTTCTGCCCAAAATCTTGATCCTAGGTGCAGTGGTTTGTACTCGTGGTCCCAGCTACTCAGAAGGCTGAGGTGGGAGGAGCAGTTGAGCCCCAGGAGTTCGAGGTTACAGTGAGCTACGATCATGCTACTGCATTCCAGCCTGGGCAACAGAGTGAGACCCTTTCTCTAAAAAAGCAAACAAGAGTGCTGATCCCAAGGTGTTGCCTCAAGATCAATTCCCCCTTCCCTCTCCAACACACACTCTGGAACAGAATGGCGCAGCTACTGTGATTGCTAGGAGAAAGGCTTTGGGGGGTGCCAGTCCCCTACTTGTAGTAACACCTCCTCTTTCTGCAGGAACATGGTGGGTTTTCCTCACAACTTCAGAGTCTGATCATAACACATTCATGGAAATTAGAACCAGCACACGAAACCATAGGCTTATGGCCCTAAAGAAATATGTCCATGTCCAGAAAATGCCATGTTGCCAGGTTGCCAACAGCTTTGGCTATAACATGGGCACAGGCTGGGACATCAGAGAGTAGTTGGCGTTCCCTTGGTGGGTGAGCTGGGATGGGCTAAGTTATGTTACAGTCACATACAACCTCGTCATTTTAGTGGCCAGCATGGCAGAGGTATATTTCTCGTGCTACATTTCTACTGTGGCTTTCCAGGGGGCTCAGCTCTCAGAGCCCCTGGCAATGGAGGCTCCACCCTTGGGACGTCACCAGTGGTTTCGGATGGGGAAGGACACACTGGAGCCTCTCGTACCAGTTGACTACTCTGAGCCACATGAGACATTCGTCATATCTGCCCATAGCCCACTGGCCCTGTGGCATCCTACCACCTGCCTGGAAGGAAGAGAGCCAAAATTACTGCTGAGCAGCCCCTCTGCATGTGGGTGCAATGGCATCTGATGACACTCAGAAACCTACTCTAGCGGCCATCTGCCAGTATCATGCAGTGTCATGCTCCGTCATGGCCTGGAAGATCAGAGTCACAGAGTGACAGGACCTGGAGTGTCTCTGAAAATAATTGTCTGGTTTCACTCCCTGATTTTACACATCTTGAGAGGCAGAGTGATGCCTACAGTGAGCCCTGGACTGGGAGGAAGGGGCCCGGGTTTGAATCGGGGCCTTTGTTCCTCTTCTACTGTATGACTTTGGTCAGATTTCTCCTTCTGAGAAGTGGAGCCAATTAGGCGATCTCTAGAACGCTGTAAGCTCTGAAACATTTCCTCACATGTTTCTAGCAACTTCCAGTCTGAGGTCTGATAGACCCAGGGTTACTCTGCAAGCTAAATGTCATATCAGTCTCGTCTGGCAAATCTAATTTTAACCGCTTAATACTTATTTTAGGCTTCACAAATTATTTTAAAAGAAAAGAAAGGGGCATAACAAGAAGAAAGCTTCAGTTACAATTTCCCCAAAATACCTGGATCTGGAATTCCTGCTTCCTCACTGCTTCCTGGCTGTGTGGAGAGAAGATGAGGATGGCCCTGGAGTCAGACAGGACCAGGGTCCAAGCCCCAGCTCTTCCATTTGTTAACAGTGTTCTCAGCCTCAGCTTCCTTACCTGTAGCATGAAGATGGCAGTATTTCCTTGTGGGCTTATTTTAAGTATCTGGTGAGAGGAAGCATGCGAAGCTCTTAGAACAGAGCCTGGCACGTGGTAAATAGTCAGTGAGTAGTAGATGATATTATTACCATCCTGTCCCTGTCCCCAAGCAAGTATTTAGGCTTTGAAATGTTTTAAATGATTTCATGAGAATAAGCAATGTGTCAGATGAATTCTTCTTACCTCCCTCCTACTTACTGGCCATGGCCTGAATGTCTGTAAGGGAGCTGGAGCCAGGTGAGGGGAACTGAGGTTTGGGAAGTACTGAGTTCATTACCAGCAAGTGCACAGTGCTGGGATGGGCCAGGTACCCACCCCCAACCCTACCATCACCCCCCACAGGACCTGCCTCTTGCTCCCTTGCTAACAGACAATCTGTTTGCCCCCTGCCCCCAGGGACCTCACGGTCCCTGCCCAATTTAAAGTTCAAACTCTGTAACTACACAAAGCTGCA